AGGCGGGCCGGGCGGGCGGAGGAGGGCCGGCCGAGGATGAGTGCGGGCTGCGGGCGGGACCCCCCTCGGAAGAGAGCCCGACCGAGCACCGGTAGCCCCGGCGGCGGCTCCCAGGGAGAGCGGCCGCCGCCGCCGCTCGGTCCCCGCCAGGAGGGGCCCGGGGGCTGCAGCTCCGGCGGCGGCAGCAGCCCCGCCACCGCCGTGGGGAACAAAGGTTTGTACCGGCCTCACCGGGGCAGGGGGAGCGGCCAGGCGAGCCCCGGGGCTGGGCGCGGGAGGGGACTCGCCGAGGGTCCGTACTCTCCCCCGTCCCATCCTCCCCTTCCGGCGCCGGGGCGGTTTCGGGGGATGCCGGGGGACGGGATGCAAAGCCCGCGCAGCGCTGAACTTGCCCGAGCCGGGCCGGAGCGCTGCTCGGCCTGTCCCGGCGCCGCTGGGCCGGCGGGAACCGCGGCCGTGCCTGGAGCTCGGCGGGAGGAGGCGGCCGAGGGCTCCGCCGGCCTGCGGGGTCCCTCTTGGCTGCTCCCCGCGTCTCTGCTGCCCTCCCGTTCGCCTGGTGCGCTGCGGGGAGGGCAGCGGTAAGTGACAAGAGGCAGGTAGCCTGCCCGGAGCTGGCCTGCCATGAATCGTCCCTAACTTGGCTTCCCGCATCCAGCGTGTGGCGGGTACCCGAGCCCGGAGGGGTGGGCTGGGTGCGTTCCTGCCCTTTGGAGATCCTGCTTTGGGTGCAGGATGGTTACCCTGTCGCTGTGCCTGGTTCTCCACAAACTTTCAGTAACGTGTGACCGTCCAACGCTGCTAAAGGTAGCGTGTTTCCTATGTGCCAGAAAAAAAATGCATGCTGCAAGAGGGATGTGGTTTGGTGGCGTGTTGTGCCAGGCCATGGCGGCAGGGAGAGCTGAGGGTAATGATGAGAGCTCTGGTGGGCATGTGGCTGCAGGCCTGGGGCGCTGCTGGTCCTCTGGGGCATCCCTCCTGCTGTGCAATAAAGCTATGTAGAAAAAGTTCCCAGGTGGCTTCCTTAGGTTATTTTTATTTGCAGCTAATGCTGTCAAAATAAAAATTTGATGCACGATGAAGTATCTATTTCAGGAATAGAAAAAATGCGGAGAAGGGGGAAAATAAAACAACCCCAAACCCAAAAGATTTGCTATGGTTGATGAGTTAAACCTCAGTAACCAGTAACTAAGAGGCAGCTTCGAGTAGATAATAGTTGGAGTTTATATGTATGCATTCCTACAGAGTGATGAATAAGAATCTTCTAAAAATTAGGTTGTTTTCCTCAGTGGTAGATTTCAGGGGATGGTTGTTTTTTGGGGAACCTTGAATAGAACTTTAGAGACCACAAAAGTCTGGTTGTATTGTTTGTACTGAATGTAAGCATACGTCATCTTTTTGTTTCTCTTACGTTTTTATTACCTTATCTGGGGCAAAAAAAGATGTTGGTAGTACTAAAGAAAAATGCCGTGTGTTATGTTGATTGTAGGGCTTAATTGGCTAATCAGATGTGAAAGTTCAGACCAAAGTCATTTCTATTCTGGTGCTGCTGCTATAATTTCTACTTATTGTGCTAATTAATAGGTATTCCTTCCTCAACACAAGTTTGTACATCCAGAGGTAGTCAGCTGCCTTCAAAGAGATTTATTTGTCTTATGTTTTAACATGTCTCTTCAGATTTTTTCTGGCTGCTTCTTTCTGCTTTCCTGTAGGCAATTTGGGTTAACGCTTCAAATATAAAAAGGTGGAATTTGGTAAACAGAATGACTAATATACTTCAGTTTTAATGAATATTTAGAAATAGAAATCTTTTAGTTCATAAAATCTATCAAGCTGTTAGTTTTATTTCTTCTGAGTGGGGTGAAGCTGAGCATTTGTTGAAAAATTGAGTGGCTGAGTATGGCACAAGATTCCTTGTGCTTGTGTAATCTACGTACAGCTTGGTCTTACTCCCTGGTGACCTAATCACATGATGGCAACTTTGTACTATTGTTTGGGCTACTTCAGGAGAACTTAAAATGATATAAACATATTTTTTTTTTTCTGGATATTATGTTTTCATTTTAGAAATTCTGTACTTTCGATGAGGATATTTGATAACCAGCTGTGGAAAAGTGTTCAAGGCCTCGAACGTTAGGGAAAGTATTTATGAAACAGTATCTTTTAAATTACCTTTCGCCTAAGCTACCTATGCTACACAGCCTCCATTTGCAGTAAAATGCTGAGTCTTTTTGTAGTGACAATTAGTCAGAATAGCCAGATCTGCTGTGCTGGTTTTTAAGTTCTACAAAACTATTATTGCAGTAGGGGAACAACAAATTTTACTTACTCAGTTGAAAGCAGTGATTAAACACCTTGCACTGTCAGCAGTGGCAGGTAGATAACTTCTCTTGGCAAATGGAAAGAAAGAGTACTGAAGCTAGTTGCCAAATTTTCAGAATTACCTTTAAATAACAACAACAAAACTGAACTAATGAAGATGAGTTTCCAATTGTGAAATAACTGCTTTGAGGTTTTTCTCCCTATTCTCCTCCCAAGTCTTTACATAATTAGTTCATGTACTGCAGTTCTACTGAAAGCTTGTCTGAACTGCAACATCACAGAGAAAAGAGTGATCAGGTTCACTAGAGCTCTGTCGTTGGCAGTAAATCTGAATAAAAATCTGTCCTTCACATTTTGTTGCTGTTTAGGCAGGTGAGCACTGATAGGCTTTACAAATAGTTTATGGATGGAGGAGAAAAGAAAAAGTCCTTTTCGCAGCACTTTTCTCTTCTAACGTGTGCAATCTTTACATTAAGCCTCATGTTTCACAGTATGCTACATATGAATAAGGTTCTTGGCTGGGTCTTCGAAGATGCCTTGTTGTTAGTGTTTTGTTTGTTTGTTTTAAGCTGTCATGTTACCTCTTCATTGCAAAGTTCAGCAGAAACCTTTCAAGGCTCACTGTGGTGGTGATTAAAGGTGATAATCAGAGCTGGAAAGTTCAAGTTGTTTGTGTTTTGGTGTTTAGATTTTTTTTTTTAAAATCTAGAGATTTACTGTATGTTTTTAATCATCTTATAAAAAATGTTGGATGAACAATACCCACCACACACCAAGCCTGGCATTATAAAGAATATTACAGAAGCTGCAGCTGCTGACTGATACAAATTAAATATTGTATCACATAATACTGTTAGTGTCTGGATGCTCCCTGTAGTACAGATGATAATGAGGACTTAATTGAGGAGGGTTTTTTTTTTTTTTCATCCAGTGCAAATTATCTTATTCATATGCAATCATGTTGCAGTTTTATCATATTTCATGTAATAATGTAGTGAACTGGTTTTGTTTGGTTTTTTTTCAGTTTGTAAACAACGGACAATTACCACTTGGTTGGAGAATAAAGGACCCAAGACAACTGAGCCCAAAAGGTAAAATGTACAGCGTACGTCTGCAAAAGCTGTGTTCTTTGAGGGGCCCTGTGGGCGGCTCAAAATGCAGGTTGGCAGTACTAAAAAAATAGTACTATTAAAAAATAGCAGCTACTGAAAAATACCCAACCCCATTTCTGCTGCTTTCCTTACCATGGCACATCCTCTTGAGTATAACTAACTGACAGACATTCACTACGAAAAGCTAACTAGTCCCCCACCCCTTCCCTCTATCTAGCCTCCTAAAACCAAACTTTCTTGCGGATTTAGCTTCTTGAAGCACCTCACTGTTTAGTTTTAAATTTTGTTGCTCTTGCAAAGAAAAAGATGGGAACTTGCAGCAATAAAAGTCAAAGTGGGACTGCTGCTTCCTGGGGCAGCCAACTGCTAGATTGAGTTAGTTGTCATATCAGGGTATGTCCTTAGTCAACAGCTCTGCTCTTAATTTTTGTTTAATGTAGGGCAGTAACAGTTACAGATTTTGGCTGACAGTTATGCATTCGACTCACAATTCTGTTAATTTACGGACAAAAGTCTGTTTTGGTTTGTCTGATTGGACTGTGATTGTAGTATAAGCCTCTGCAACTTGATTTCATTTGGACCAGAATTAACAGCTGCTCAAACGTGCATTCAGGTTATTTTGTGAGAAGTTATAAAAGTTTTGCTGCCGAGTGGCACCAGGTAAAGTTTGATATTTTCTGCTAATGTAGTCTGTCTGAAGCAATGTTTGCAAAGTAGTGGTAAAATTAAACTCTTAGGAGTTTACCTGGTGCAGAGGAATGTCAGATATTATTTTTCTATAATTGCGATTGTAAATGTGCTGGTTTATTTTTCCTTGATATTTGTTAATAAAGAGAAATTGAAGTTCATAGCAGTGCTAAGATAGCTAGGAAAACTTGTGATATTGATTAATGCAGAAGTACATAAGGCTTAATTACAGGCTTATAGGTTCCAATAAAGCAAAGATGTTGAGAGGATGCTTAGGGAGGGAATGCATTTATTTTGATTTGTTTATTTTTTTAAGATTCCCTTTAGACTATTGTTTCTATATGCCCTCCTCCAGCCTTGCTGACAGATTACAGTTTTAAGCAGCAGGTTAGTCGTGGCACTAAACACTTCATAAACACTTCATAGGCACTATTGCACATTTGCCTATGTGCCACAATTTTAACTTAATTTGAATTTGAACATTATCTTTGTGTTAGTTTTTTTATCCTAAGTTGATAATAGATGTTGCCAATATTTTTAAACAGTCATTTATTGAGATGGCAGTAGTAACATAACTTTCATTGTTATTCATCAAAATTTTCAGTGCAGGAACAAATGCATAGGTGAGGCTGAGGAGTTAAATTATGTAACGTAACCCCCTCTAAAATGCTTTTGTTCTCAAATAACCTTCCTATGGATGAAGTTCCGAGCTGTCATCAGCTGTGCCAAGCCCCTTTATTGATTTGTATTGTTTAGAGTGATATATTCACCAAGATTAGTCAGGTGTTTTTTTTAATATTCATCTGGTGTCTAAGTATTTTTCTTTATCAATACACTGACACAGATATCAGTATGTTAAGTGTGAAATGACTTTCCAATGTCCTCTTGAAAAGTTTCATCTCCTCATACAAAACTCACTTTGTTTCCCCGTGGAACTCTTAGGATGCATTTCTTTGTGTAAGACAACACAGGATGAATTAGGTTATCTTTCTCTTCAAAAATAATAATTGATTTAATGTTTCTTATAATTTTTATTATCAGTTCGCAATATATTTTACTCTTATGCTTTTGTATCGTGACTTCTTTGAAGAGTCCTGGGCTGCTTATAAAAGTAAGGAAGTTATAGGATGTTTTTGAGACTATGGGCTACTGTGTCCTGCTCTTCTTGAAGATGAATCTGTAGCTTTGAGGGAATGGTTACAAAACCATTCCTTGCTGACTGTATTTAACTGATTAAAATTGAAGTTAAGGAGTTTATTATGACTTCTAACTTTTTTAATCTGAAAAAACCTACCCCTAAATAATAGCTTAATACCATTTAGATTTGAAAATAAGGGTAATGAACTACTGGAATAGATTTCAAAGGTAAGCAACTGATTCATCATTCTTTGGAGTCTCTAAATGGAAATAGGTTGTTACTGAGCTACGTTACCCAGTGCAGTAAAACTTGTTGATCCTGGTAGTGCTTACTTACAAAGTATAATGGGTAGAATTCTGTAGTTTCTTTTGTATGTTTATAATAATTTTCTTTAAAAAAAATTATATATATACAGAAATTTCACTTGGAGAAAAGACATTAAATTGCCTTACTTCTCTTCCACAGCTTACACAGCAAAATTAATAATACTGAAGCACATCCCAAGATGACTTCCATTAAAAAAGAGAACTTTTGCGAGCATGATGTGAAAAAGCTAGAGAATATCTGCCAGCAAAATCATTCAAAAATATCTGTGGAAGCTGGTGCAAAGCATGTGAATTTGCCTCAGACGGGCAGCATGTGTAACTGGGAGGCTGAGGACAAAGATCCAGTCTCGGACACGGAGCCTGCGAAGGGGACGCAGTCTGGAGACCTCTTTAAAAACGCCAACATCGATCAGATGCACAAATCCAGCAAGCAGGCTCAGAGGGGCTGTGAAGAAAGCAGTGACAGTTGGACTCAGAGGAAATTATCATCAGGCCGCTCTTTGAAAATGGGAAGTACAAAACTTTCTTCAAAAGACGCTGAGACAGACGGACAAGCAGCTTCGTGCGATTCGCAGGAGCTGAAGAGTTGCAATTCTGTCTGTTCAACGGGTGAACAAGAAGAAGGGGATGTAGTTCCGGAAAGTCCACTTTCTGATGCTGGTGGTGATGCTTGTGTATCTGATCTTGGAGGTCCTGGGAAACTGGGCAAACGTCAGAGTAGTTCAGGGGATTCACCTGCTTTTGAGAAAGAAAGTGAGCCAGAGTCACCAATGGATGTAGATAATTCTAAAAATAGCTGTCATGGGTCAGAGGCTGATGAAGAAACAAGTCCGTTTCTTGATGAGCGAGAGGAGATTAATATGTCAAAATCCATAAACAAATCTTTTAGAATTCAATATGGGGATGCTGAACTGGAGTCAAGAAAGTCACGTTTTTCTGCCAAGGGCTGTGAAAGCTTTGAGGAAGTAGATAATTCTGTTAAAGAGGACAGTCTGCATACAAAGTCACCTGGGATCTCTCCTGCTCCATCTTCAGAAAGCAAAATTGCAAGACAGGGTGTGAAGAGAGATTCCAAAATCACCTCTCACTTCATGAGGATACCTAAGATCGAGGAGAAAAGGTAGCATTCGTATCTATTTTTAGCCTCCTTATCTGTTTTTTCACGCTCTAAAATTTCCTCTTTGGTGATAGCACTTTGGAGGCTGGATTGTATAAAGGGTTTTGCAAAACATATGTTAAGACACAAAGACAACTTCTATGTAAGCTTGAAGTAACTTATTTTTAATGGGACTACTTGTGGGTTTTTTAAAATATATGTTTGTCCACTGCAGTTTTTTAAGTTGTTGAGGATCTGTTAAAAATGGGAATTAAAGATACTGTAGGAACTTGATTTTCTTTATCAAAGAAGTGATTTAAGACCATGGCATTTTTAATCCTTGAAAATGAATGGTGGTGCAGGAGTACTTTATGGACTGTAGTTCTAGCATTTGTTATTTCATTCAGAATATTTGAGGAAACTCTGGTTTTCTTGGGTTTTTTGAGTTTCACCTGTCAAAAATACTGAATCTATTTTGTTAAAGCATCAGTGCTACTTGATTGAAATAGACATGAGAAACTTTTGAAAGCAGTTGTAGAGATGGGGGGGGCTGTCTCAAGGTTTGGTTTTTTTTTTTTTTTTTTTGCTTTATTTGTAATTTGGGAGAGAAGGACTGGTGTTTATGCACTGTAGCAATGGAAATGGAAACCCTGAGCATGACCCAGGACTCTGTATGCTAGATGTTGTGTAAGGACAAAAGGATAATCTCTGCTCTGAAGAGCTTAGATTTCAGTGGGAGCTGAGAAAGTGAATAAACAACAAAGGAGCAAGCAGAAACAAGAGGACTGTCTATGTTAGTGTAGTAAGCAATTATCTCAGTAGACTCAAGTCCTGAAAGCAGGGCAAGAAGGTTTGTTAAAGTTTTGTTTTTTTTTTTTTTTTTTTTTGCTTTATTTGTAATTTGGGAGAGAAGGACTGGTGTTTATGCACTGTAGCAATGGAAATGGAAACCCTGAGCATGACCCAGGACTCTGTATGCTAGATGTTGTGTAAGGACAAAAGGATAATCTCTGCTCTGAAGAGCTTAGATTTCAGTGGGAGCTGAGAAAGTGAATAAACAACAAAGGAGCAAGCAGAAACAAGAGGACTGTCTATGTTAGTGTAGTAAGCAATTATCTCAGTAGACTCAAGTCCTGAAAGCAGGGCAAGAAAGTAATTTTGCACGTCTTTACTGGGAGGTCCTTTCTGGATTTGAGGAGCAGCACAAACCATGCCTTTCAAGGAATTGAAGAAGAGGGTGACAGAACATGGCTAACTAGTGGTGGGAGCTTGCATTTGAGAAATCTTATGAGATGAGTAGGCTGAGAGTGGATTTGGAAAACAAAAAATAAAGGTGGTTATTAGGAAAAATGCATAGATAAAGAATTTGCTAAAAGAAGTATGGAGAAGGGGGTCATAAAGTTTAAAACTATGGGTTTAGAGAGTACTCTTTTCACTAATTTAAATGAATTGTTGCTGTAGCAAAGCAGCAGAGGTTGAGGCTTGTGTTTGTCAGTACTAGAGCATCGTGTGTGCTTACTAGAGCAGTAAGTCCATGCTTGGGAGGTAAAATAGTGGTATTGTCTAGAGCGCTTAAGAAGGTGAATAGAAAACCTTAAAAGCTTTTCTCCTGGTTTTCATTAGACGTGGTCTACAGCAGATGATAGAGTGGCCCAGATCTTAACTGGCCAAGAAAGAAGCAGTAGTGTGTCAAACAGGTTTCAGTCATCAGTAATGCTAAGCCAGAATTATCCTTTGGCTCTCAGATGAGCACAGTGGGCCTCTACCACACGCCGATGTGGCTACACCATTTGCATGCCATCAGCCAGGTTGAGGGCATTGTCTGCGCCTGAAGATACTGGCTTGTGCATAGACCCAGCAAACAGGTTGGGCAACATCTTTATTCAAGGGTGGAGTAGGTTAGGGAAGGGGAATTTAGAGGCCTAAACAGTACCTCAAAGTGTAGGCTTTTAACTTGTTTTGCATTTTACTCTGAGAACTTTCTCCTGCATGAGAAACATCTGGTATGTTACATCAAATGTACAGCAGGTTCCGATTTTTCTTCCCAAAAATATCTCAGATCGTTAAAGAGGATTAGTTCATCTGCTCTTGCATATATTTGAATTTTGCAAGTGTTTTTTGGATTACTTTCAAATTTCTACTTCCACTGCAAGTGTTGTATGCCTGGCATGAGAAGTGCAACCCTAGTGAGAAAGAGTGATTAAGAAAGTTATCTTTTAGTCTGAAGAAGGAGTATGTGCATCTGTGCGTGCACATGTGTTTGCTTTTTGACCGTTGAGAAGGGGCTACAGAGGGTGTCCTGAGAAATGAGCCCAATGAGTCTGTCTCCTGGCCCTGGATAAACAGATCCTGTTGGGAAAGAGCATGACTCTGTGGAGGAGGACCTTGCCTTGCTAACATATTGCAGCTCTGCGAAGGTGTTTGTAAGCCTGTAGAGAAGAGTGTTTTGGTAGACATCCTGTACTTGCCTGTGTTGGGAAGGAGGAGGAGGAGGTTGTTGGTGGTGGGAGTTTTACCCAAACAAAGCTTTGGCTTGGGGCCACAGCACAGGCAAGCAAATAAACTAACTCTGATATAAATGTAACCCTGGGGTGGAAGTTTGTGTATTTGCCTACCAGATTTTTCAGTGAAAATAAAATGTTTCAACCTTTTTTTTATTCTAACAGCAGAAAAGAAAAGTGTGAATTCAAACCCCAGAGGCCAGGAAGGAAGATTCCTAAATACGTGCCACCTCCTCTTCCAACTAATAAGAAATGGTTCGGGACACCGATTGAGGAGATGAGAAGAATGCCCATGTGTGCGGCCCGACTCCCTCACCTGCGACCCTCAGCCAATCATACAGTCACCGTCAGGGTACGATCACTCAGTGTATTACCTAAAATCAAATTTCTTACTGAAATGTTCAATACTATGAAATGCCAAATGTTAGTTTTACAGTATTAGCAGGTTGTGGAAATCTGTCTTTGTTGTTCCTTGCAAGCAGACTGGGGCAACTGATTTTCCTGAAAATTGACTTTTCGGGTGCACAGAATTAGGATATTAAGATTCAGAAGAAATGTAATTATGGTTTTACTGCCTCTGGCTTGTTAGGGACAAGTCTTTGTCTTTTGCGTAGAGGTGTGTGTACTTCCTTGACTGATTTTTAAGTTTGAGAATTTAAATATGTCTGCAAGTAAAATTTGTACTTCAATATTTTCATGTTATGCTTTCATTTTAGTGTTCTGGTTTAGGTTCAAGGTACACAAAAGGCTCAAGATATTCAAGATAAGAAAAGCAAAGAATGAAGAGGAATTCCTAGCAATTTTACCACTGTATTTTAGATCAAATCTGATGCATTTGCCTTTAATCCTTTGGAGTATTATGCACTCAAATTATGTGTGACCAGAAACCTGTAGGGTCATGGATAAATCTGAAACAGAAGAAAAGCATGTTAAGTTTAAATGCAAGTTGTGTGGGAATCAGTGCTGCCAGGAGGCTTTCTAGCAGATTAGATACTTAAATTAATAAATGAGGAAGTATTTAGCTGATAATTGGATGTAAAATAATTGCATTTATTACCTTTATATCAGTGTATTTCAAGAGGTCAAATGATAAGGTGGTGTTCTTTTCAGCAAGTATAACATAAGAGTAACAGATGGAATTTTTTTATTAACTTACTGTCCATCATGTGGTTGGTTTGTAGCTTTCCCGAATCCAAAATAGGGTGGCTGTAGATGAGAGCTTTTTTTCACTGTGTTTTTGCTTACTTCTTATTTCTTCCATTTAAAAACTTGAAAGTAGAGTCTGATCTTTTTTCCTTCTCCTTCTGCGTTGCAGGTAGATCTTCTGAGGGAAGGAGAGGTGCCTAAACCTTTTCCAACTCACTACAAAGATCTGTGGGACAACAAACATGTTAAAATGCCCTGCTCAGAGCAAAATCTGTACCCTGTAGAGGATGAGGTAAGATAAAGTATTTACACTTGTGTAACCAAATACATTTTGTTTACATATAGATGAGTTTTCAGTTTACTGCTTTTGCTCAGTTAGAAAACTGTGTGTATGGAACTGGGAAATCAGATAGAGGAACATACCTGGTCTGAAAAAGTGGATTTTGGGTTGTGAGCAGAAGATTATTTTTTTTTCCTTAGTAATTATTTTACCTTCTATTGATTTGGTGGTGTATATATTTCTGTAATTACGTGAAGTATAAGCTTATACTCCATATAAGTTCTTTACTTACATATTTATATGGTTTGGGGTTTTCTTGTGAAGCCATCTGGGATGCCAACAGATGTGAATGAATTTGTAGCCACATTCTGATTATAATATTCTGTCAGATATTGCTGGTAGCAGAACATCAGACAGATACACCTCAGTCTAAAACAGTGGTAGAGAAATTACAGTTGTCCCTGCATGGTTTGTTGATCTGGCATTTCTTACTGCTGCTTGAAACTTACTTAAACATACCCACTGAAATACTCTTAGACCCTGGTGAATAAAATGAGCAAGTGTGTCCTGTAGTGAAGACTGTATAATGATTATTGATACTTGAGTCTGCAGTAGAGAAGTTTTTTAGCCTCTAGGAAATACTCGGTCCTTTCATTTATCAATTTTACAGATAGAGCATAAAATGAATTTAACTGATGTTTCAGAGATAGTGTTGATAAGACCTTTGTTGCCAGTTGAGCAAGATGAGTTATCTCTGTGGTAGTCCCATAAGAAATACCATCATTGCTTGTAACGGGCAATAAGACTTCCTGCTGAGGAAGAATATCACAGGATGTCAGTCAGCCACAGCAGTATGCTTTTATAATCTGTGCCCTTATTGTCCTTACTATTGCATCTTTATGAAGTTAGTTCGGTTTGTGTTTTTGAGTTGTGGATTTTGTAAATTGTGGTCATGTTCTATCTACAAAATCCACTTTCTTTACAAGAAATGTACTGAACATTATTTATCCTTGAGACAGCATGAGGAGGAGTGCTCTATATGTAAAGAAGAGCTCTTAATGAATTTTGTGAGTGCTTCAAGTAAAAAGGAACTCTTAAGGAAGTAAAATGCAGTGGACTAGAAGTTGTAAAAGTACTTTACAATTACTCAAAATACGTGGTTTAAAGAACTTCACAAACAGAGCAAACTTTATTTTAGAAAATGTGTCAAGGAAGACAATAATTAGTAAATGTGTCTTTCTGTTTTGGATAACTTAATCTCACTTTGTTTTGTGCTTTTGTTTTAAAGAATGGAGATAGAACTGCTGGAAGTCGATGGGAACTAATCCAAACTGCCTTACTTAACAAATTTACTTGCTCCCATGATTTGAAGGTAAGCTTGTCAATTTGAAATCAAGTCTATATACATACAAGTATATTCACGCTCTCAGTGTACTGTTAGTGGTTCTGGCTCGGTCCTATTTGTTTAATCACTTATAAAAATAAATTTTTAAAAAATCTGTGCTGTTCAAGGGATTCCCAAATGAATGAGTCTTGAGTGTTACCACTGAATTTATTCGGTATTATTAAAATGAATTGTCTTTTCTAAGTCTACACGAAACTGTATTTTTGTATTTGGTATTTTTAAAGAGATCGAGCATGAAGTGGGGAATGTTTATGTTAGGCAGATCCAAGAATGTCTCATCATCTTGTTTTGTGCTAGGAGGAAAAACTTGTAGACTAAAGCTTATTTGATGCTAAACCTAAAATACAGGATTCAGTATCATGGTGTCATAGTTTTATGGAATATGTTAGGCTCTGTGACAGGTTGTAGCCACTAGATGGTACTGTTTCTTCAAAAAGGAAATTTTAAAAAATCCTTTTTCTTCTGTTAATAAGCATCTCTAAGCTTTATTTGTCGTGTCCTTTCCTTAGGAGGCTATTCTGAGATACAACATTGCTTATTCCAAGAAATGGGACTTCAGTGCTCTTACTGACTTCTGTGAGAAGGTAAATCAAGTTGATTTAAAATAGGAAGAAAAGTAAAATAAGAGACTACTTTGTCTATATGTCTCAATGCTTTTCGCTTTATTTCTCTTTTCAAGAGTAAAGGTTTTGCAGTCGTGTATGTGGACAGTTATTTGGCTGGTAACTTCATTTGAAATGATAATTATACTTTATAAACTAGGTTAATTTAAGCAGGTGATTTGGGTGCTTCAGTAACAACTAAGGTTACTGAAGGTAAGGTGGGATATGCCTTTTCTCTGTTTTTATAATAACCAGATTTATGAATAAATTGCATTAGTATTTCCAATGTAATGGTTTCTTGTTTTAAAAAGTGTTGCTTTTTTTTTTTTTTAAACAACTGTAATGTTACATTACAATGGCGTTTGTATAAAATGTGCTTTGCTGATCAAGCAGTAACACTTTGCTATGTGCTGAGATGATGAATTTAAACTTTGAAAGCTTGGGGTGGGTTTTATGACTTAATGTTACCTTCCTGGAAGAGGATGGAAAAGAAAAATTAATAGCAGGTGGCAAATGCGAGTTGGACTATTATTAATGTACATCCTGTCTGATGTTCAGAAACTATGCTAATTAAAGCAGAATGGGAGATCAAATGAGATGCAATAGAAATTGTAGTTTTTCTTCTGCCGACTCAGAAGTGCTTTTTAAAACACCTGTGGTTGTTTTCTTGGGAGGAGCTTGCTAAGCTGTATTAAGGTTCAGTGGAAACTAAATTTGATTTGAAGTTAATTTTGTTAGTTGTGTGTGTTTAAAATAGATATCTGCTAAATTCCTGTGATCAGAGGAACTGTTCTTTCTATTGCCTGTTTCCATTGCACATAGACACTACTGTTTTACAGAATGAGTTTTGTTTGGCATGCAACACAGTATTGTTATTACTGACAGAAGGTACCTATAAAAATACTGGTGGTATCGTATTTGCTGGCCATGAGAGCTACCGTTTTTGCCCATTTTGCCAATTTAGTGATTCTTTCTCTCGTCTATGGGGTCTTTGTTTTTTCAGGCTGTCATAGCTGGATGGTAGAGGCTGTGCACATCTGGCTTCTTTACTCTTGTTGACTCATGAACTAACAGAAATTAACTTGGCCTGTTCAACTGTACAATCTTGTGTTATTAAAGAATACGTATTTAAATTATTAGAATGTTTTAAAGTACAAGCAAACTATTTATTTTAAAATCTGACTCAGGAATGTAACAGATTTGTATCATATTGCTGTAAATAGAAGGTCAATTGCAGACCTTGTCCTGATGTGTTCATATTGTGCATCTGTGAGTTTGGAAACTATGGATGATTAGATGCAGAAATCATCAGCCAGGGAGAGTAAGTAATACCAGCTGTCTCCAGAGGAGAGAGGAACAATAGGGAAATGAACTATGTATTGAGCATCAATCTTGCACTGAGGGTGAAATGGCAATTTCTGTCACCTGGGAATGATGATTTATTTGTGAGGTTTCCAGATAAAGGAGGAGAGATGTTTCAAAACATGGATTTTTAGACCAAGGTGTAGAGTGAGCAGCAATATATTAAATAAGGAACAGGGAAGCACTATAAAACAGTGACTCCTTGTAGACCACAGGAGCAAAATCTTACCCTGGCTTTGTTTATTGAATATATTGAATTTAGTGAATAGAACATGTGGATGGGATACACCCTGTAGAGACATGTTTAAATCTTTTCTGTTACTAAGCTTCAAGTTCTATAAATTAACAAGGCATCTGCTTTCACAGACTGTTTGCAGTCTGCTTAAGTGAGCAGCTACTGAGTGAAAAGTTGAGATCCTCTGTGGAAATGACCTAAATATACTAGTGAAGTATAGTAGAGAAGTGTAGTTTTTGAAGTTACTGTATTTGAGAGTTAATGATTAAGGCTTACTGTTGGTGTGTGTATTTTCTTGTTTATCTTACGGTTTTGAGGAAATGGGAACTGTTCAGGTCAGGCTTGCTCAGCAGAAGCTGAGAGGAAAGCTGGCTTAAGTACTCAGCCCAAAGCAACAGCTCAACAGAGGGGGAAATAGTCGTAAATATGTATTAAAAGAAAAAGATTAAAACAGAGTCTGTTATCCTGAGATCTCTGTTTATATTCTTGATCACTACTGACTTCCAATACAGTCGTAACCAAGAATTCTGCGGTCTGACTTAGAAGGGAGCTGGGTCCACAAATCTAATGGTCTCTATTTTAGTGATCCATTAAAGGCCACTGTATTCAGATATTACTTCAGGAGGGCTGTACCTGCTAAATTATAAAGTAACTTTTGTTATTTTATCTCCTGATTCTGGACACAGCTTGCCTTATCTATTAGTCTGTTAGATGCTTTCATATCAGTCTTGCATTGTGTTTCCTATTTTAGCTAGTTTTCTTCCAAGTCGAAATATGCATTATTTTTAAATCCTAGTAGTAAGATTCAAAGCAATTTCTTTGTAATTACAATAATTACTAGTTTCTTGGACTTAAAAATAAACTTATTTTCCTTTAAAACACTTTCAGCTTTCTTTACTAGTGGGAAATAAATAGCATGTATGTAAGCAAGGATTTTTTTTCCAAAACAGCATACCCTGATACGTACAGGCTGAGCAGTTTTACAGTCCAAAGCGTTGTCAGAAGAGGGAGCCCTCACACTGTTTTCAACAGATTCTTCAGGATGCCAGTTAAATGTGTAGAAGTAAAATTCCTATTTACACAGTGAAATAAATTTGGGAGCTTGGAGTGTTTTTGTTTCTTTGAAAAAGTTCATAGCACCCATCAGTAATATATGTGAAGCTCTCGGTAGCTTATTGGCTTCAGATATCTGACAGTTTTGTTGTCCTCTCTGGAATTTCCACACTGTTGTATTGATTTGTTTTGACATCTGTTTGTTAATATTGGCAAACAGGCTGAGGATTTACTCAAGTTATTACTTAGTAGATGAAAATTATTAGTGCTAACATTTTTCTTCTTACTTGCAAAATTCTTGTCACTTGGAAGTCATCCTTGTTTTCCCAAAACTCACCTAGGAGCCAGGCAGGAAAGAGGAAACAACAAGCAGAAATGGAACGGTGAGGAAATGGCTGTGGATGGAGTTGTCTCAGGACCCACAATGTGTTATAGATGAGCTTTATTTACGTGAATGATGATGGGTTGGGAATTTCTTACGTGCTTTTGATCAACAGTGCTACATACTATAGTAGTTTTTATTTTTCTTTCTCATAGATTTGTCCTTCCAGACCAAATTCTTTTGCTTTTTCCCAAGGGCATGAAATAAAAGGTCTAGTGAGGTCATTCAAGGCTTATGTCTTAGACTACTCTCTAACAACAGTGACTTTAAATAAAGGGAAAAGTAGGGCTTTGTCATTTAAGACAATCATATGGTCTGCTGCTGTAGATTGGGCCTGCTTGTTTTAGACATGCTTTATTTTTATTATATTGCTTTCAAGTCTCTTAGAGCTTAAGCATAATTCTTGTTAACGTTGAGTCAAGAACTCTTCCTCTTACTGCTTGCATCTGTCCTGCTCTTTCAGGAACAGAGGAGTGTTTAAATCTGAAAATGACACAACACTGTATAAGCAGTGCAAAACTTTCTTCAACGGTGATCCTTCTTGTAAAAGAGTAGTAAAGTAGAGAAAGTAAAAAGTTACTTTGTGAAATAATGTCTGTATGCTATTCAGTGCTGAAAAGGATTACATCCCATACTTAGGCATGTCATTAAAAGGCAAACTTCAGTCTCTGGTAAAAATTCATGTATCGGAAATTGCAAATAATTAGACTTAAATTTGATTGATCTCTTAAGAAGCATAGACTGAAGATGGGAGTTTAGGTAAATTTGTGTGGTGTAGGTGGTGATTGACTCTGGGCTTCTGTGAGTCATCGGAAAAATGGATCACAGTACATCTTGCAGATGTTCACATTGTATCTGTAATTATTTTTATCTTTGTCTGGACTCTTTGAGCTTGATCATCCTGGTGGAAAGTTTGTGTCTGTGAAATGGAAAACATACAATGAGAGCAGTCAGGGATGATGTAAAGGTATGTCATAGTTTCCATATAAGGAATGTCTAAATAAGCTAGGGCTGTTTCATCTTTTCATCTTCGTTAAGAGATAATTGAGGAATGGGTATAACAGTGGTGTCCAAAATGAATGTAAGGCTGAAGATGACTGTTCATTCTTCTAGTACAACAGTTAAGGGACACCAGATGAGTGTTTCTAGCAGGTAAGGGTTTCAAAACCAGATAAAAGTAATTACTTATTTAGATACTGAATAAAAGGCTGTGGAACTCATTGTCAGGGGATGTAGAGGGTGCTGTGGCTTTACATCAGATTTTGATGGGATTTGGAGAAATTGTTGGTAGAAAGATCCTGTTGCCATCTACACAGATACTGTGGTGGACTCTGGAAATTTCTGAAACAGATTACTGCAAGTAAAGAGCGTTTTGAGGAAGTGCTGCTGTTACTTGCTTTTCTTGCCATCAGACTTTTCTAGGCATCTTTTTTTTAATGGGCTTTCTTGAACTTTTGTCCATTTTTATATTCTTGCGACTTTTCTGAGTTGAAACTGAGAGGCAGAAGTGGCCGTGTGATGCAGGCCCTGCTGTGGTGTAGTACCAATATGAGATGTTGCTGACAGAAAAGCATGGGGATCTATACGCTAACCTCCTTTAGGAGGACAAAATAATACAGGTAATGGACATTTTAAATGAACCTCACTTGAAGGCACTTACACTTCTTAAAATTTGTTTTTCCAGGAACGTTAAAGTTCCTGGAACTGGTTTCAAGTTCTGCAGAACTTTAAACCCTCAGTGTCTGCTTGATGCAAGTAAGAAGACTTAAAGGGATTATGCTCTCAGTATCTGTGCAATGACACTCTCTCATTGTCCACTGCAAAGATTTGGCTTTTAGTAGGAAAACCGTGTATGTCTGCAGTGCCTGTTTATGGATGTCTTGTGGTATTTTTGTCTTTTGGGAAAGCTGATTGAATCCAGTCAATGTATTTAATGACCGGGATCTGTAT